AGTCAAAGAAGCAAATGCCAGCAAGCGCTCTGTTATCCCTATGCTGTCACACCTGCGGCACGATGCGTGTCAGTTGAAGGGAGGTGGAGTCGCCTTTACGAAATCCAGATTGTGCGGGACTCAGAAACGGCGAAACATGCCTGTATAAGTGGTCATAAAAGATGCGGTCACATACTTTGGACACGCAGGGAAGAAGAGAGATAGGGCTGTAGTTTGCAGGTTCGTGGCGGGGACCTTTCTTGAATACAGGTATGACTTTCGCTGTTTTCCATGCGGAACGGAATATGCCCGTGGTAAATGACATGTTGAAATTATGGCACAAAGGGAATGGTATGAATGGTGCCAGGGCGTTGAGGACCCGGTTGGGGATGCCGTCAGGACCAGATGCCTTGCACGTAGGAAAGCTTCTTCAGATGACGCCGAACAGTGGCAGTTGTGGTGATGACGGACGTGAAACAAGCTGAGGGCTCCGAGGGGGTGAGAATAAGGGGAATAGAGAGCAACGGGTCATCTGGCCGAGTCACAGAGGCAAATTGGGCGTTTACTGCCGTAGCTTTGGCCAAAGGGTCAGCCGCCTGCTGAGTCCCTGCTGTGAGTGACGGAATTTCCCGTGATAGGTTTCGAATTCTTGCTTGTCTCACAAACTGGTGAAGCGATGGTCGGTGTCTACCCTGCAAAGTAGTTTGCACTGAGCGGATATAAGCTCTGTACTTTGTCCGCGTCAGGGTTTTCACTATATTTCGCTGCTGTTGGTATGCTTGTTTTATTTGTTGTGTTGAGTACTTCTTAAAAATACTATAGAGATCATATTTCCACTTGATTGCTGTGCGGAGATGGGCATCAACCCAGGGTGGCTGACTGGGCCGTGGGCAGCGGTGAGAAGACGGCTGCTTTCCGAATGGCCAGAGGTGCTTCCCAAGGGCACTGTTGAGAATGGAAGAAAGGTTCGAAAGCGCGTTGACGTTGCTGGCACGCAGGTGCCAGCTCCAGTCAATATCAGCGAGCTCTGCATTCACACTATCCCAGACGGAAGATGGCACAAATTTAAAGTCATGTTCCGGCTTTGCAGGAACATTGCTGAAGTGGTTTCAGGGTGCAGCAGCGGGATGTCCGTTTGCAGCAGGTTCCTCACGATAAACAGCATCAGCAGGCTGTAGGAAGTGACTGAGGATCTGTGCATGGTCAGATGCACCAAGAGGAGCAACAGATGTAACAGAGAGTAGTAGGTGAGGATGATCCGTGAGTACAACGTCAAGACACGATGTTGAGCCGTGGGGGGTAAAGTGTGTGGGGAATGTCACCATTTGCTCAAGGCCAAAACAAGAGAAGAGGTTACGGAACTCCCTTTCACCACGATTCTTGGTGTCACTAGGAGACCAGTCAGAGTGGCGAGCATTCAAGTCTCCTGCAAGTACAATAGCAGAATTGGGGAGGCTAACATTGGACAGACAGTCCTCTAGGAGGTCACTAAATGCCTGGACATGGGAGATGCTGTCTCCAGGGGCTCTGTAAACAGAACAGATGATGAGGTGGAGTGACGGAAGGACCACTGGCCGCAATTCGAGCCAAACCGCCTCCAGTCCACAGCGCTCAAGGTCGGAGCGGCGCTTGATGGACATGAACGATCTTTCAGTTACAAGAGTAGCAACACCGCCATAGCCTCTCGCTTGCAGTTTATCAGAGCTGGTCGTGGGTGGGCGGTCCAGGCGGTATGACGGTTAGCCTGGAATTGAGACGTCTATGGAAGCTGTCAGCCACGTTTCACATAGGCAGATTATGTCTGGATAATACTGCTCACAGACTTGACTAAGCTCAGCTAACTTATTTTTTATGGAGCGGCAGTTAAGTGAGAGCACTGGGAAAGATGAAGTTAATTGGGCAGGTTGATTAAGAGTTTTATTAGTTTGTCGTCCAGAATCAGGAAGGAATGATGGTGCAAGTGGATTGAGCGACGCACTCAGTTATGTTGAGTGATGCGGTCTGATTTGAAGCGCCATTCACGAACCGAAATGCCACTTGGCCAGAAGTCTAGACTCTGGACCTTCTGACCATGCTCCTCCGAAATAACAAGGTGGGCATACGCCAGACCAAAATACCGTGCCGCAGATACTGGCCATTTGATTACAGTTACACTGCGGTCCTCGCACCATTTAGCGATTGAACTTGACGAACAACCGACATCAACACGGCCAACGTAGACGGCCTTGCACTTTAGCCGACATGCACCCCTTAACCGGTCAGGCTTGCGTGCAGGGCGCTGATAGCAAGATGTCACCGGTGCCTGAAGTGCGGGCTCCATTACTGAGCCTGCATTCGTCCTGTCTGGTGCAGCCTTGGCACGAAAGCCATCGGTAACCGGCGCAGCGGCAGCCCTGGGGTAGGAGTAGGTGCATCTGCGCATTACTGCGAAGAAATAAATATTTCCATAATCTCGTGCCGTTGGTTTGTACATAATTTCAGGTCTAAAATAACCTCACCCTGTCATGGCAATATACCTGAGGAGTTGAATTCACCTAGTTTCCCTTGTGCAAAAAGATTGTAGTCATGGCGGGTGGGAGCAGTTTGGGCGCTCCTGCGTCCGCTTCCATACTGTTTAGAAGAGAGCCTGAGTGGCCGTCAGATCACGTTTTCTATATAGAGGAACTGTCCAAAAATGAAGTTAGCCCTGCTGAGCTGAAGCAGGTGGATTCACAAGGGAAGCCTGGCTGGTACCTCGTAGCACTGTCCTGTGGAGCGAGGTATATTATGGCACTGCAGGCCGCGCACCTGAGGGCCTTTCTGGAAGCCTTACTCGATCGGATAGAGCGAAACTGGGCACCCTGGGATGCGAGCAGTTTTTAGTACTCCCTGGTCCAAAATCTCACCACCAGGCCGGGCTGATCAAAACGTCTGCCGGGTCTGCAGCCTACAAACGTGGATCTGCCGACACTGTGCTGTCGACGACATGTCCGGCAAGGCACCTTGCGGGAAAGCAGGGAACGCTAATTTTTAGAGAGGAAGCTTCTTCTCCAACATTTTAACATTTTTCAAAATTATTCCTTCTGAAAATATCATCGTGCTCTTGACCTCGAACCTGACTGCTGAATGCGATTAGGAAAGAAGATTCCTGAAGATGCACCAGACTGATTCTGGCAAGCCGTCTGTCGTCTGGATATGCACTGTTGTTCGTAATGGTCAGCAATCTTCTTCGTTCGTCCTTTCGCTTTCCTGACCACGATGATGACAAGCAGCTCTCATGCTCAGGTTAGTGCTACTTGTATGTCTGGGCACACAACACATATGAGATGCACTCACTGACGTTATCGAACTGAAGAATGCAGCAAGGGTTCCTCGGATTCTCTTGATTTCGGAACAAATTTCCTTCACTTTCACCCTCTCAGTCTCTTTCCCATGCCCTCCATGCAGGCACAATGGAGCTTGCATTTCAAATGTTGTTTTTACTTTGGCAGTGCGTTCGATAACGTTAGGACAGTCTAAGTTAGGTGTTCTTCTCTTCAGGCTTATTGGGCCTGTAAAAATTCTAAAAAATAGCTTCCTAAATGTAATGCTAAACGCGGGTCCCTATGATTATGAATACGGTTCTGCTGGGCAATGATGTTTACACCAATATACACTCTATGCTGTCACAGCAGCCACAACTGATTCTCTCTCTCTCTCTCTGATCACTAGTAATTTTGATAAAGCTAATCTTTAAATCGCTGTTGCACGTGCACAGGATCTCAGGTGCGAAGAAGCGATGAATCCGTACATGGCATTGTGAATAAAATAAAAAATAAAATTCACAGTGCACGTGAGACTCGGTTAGAAAGACTGCGTTTCCGCATTCGTAAGAACGCCACACCCAGGGATCATGATAAAGAAAATATGTCGTGAAAATGACTGAAAAAAACTGAAAATATTTTTCTGTATTTGTCGGGAAAATCTCTCCTTGTTCGCACTACAGAATTTGGGCAAATGGTACAGAAAATCGAAGAGGATCAATCAGCTGTGTAGAAGCATTGCAAGTGTAAGCTGAGTCATGAATAGTCTTGTACCAAAGTGAGTGCATGCGGTACCACGACAACATGTACATGTAGCACAAAATGAATGTCGTGAGTGCAAGTCACACATGTTTTACACTACCAAATGCAGCCACGGACATGCATGTGTGTGTCAAAAAACTTTTTAGTGCAAGTATGCATGCAATCAAGAGTACATAACCCCCCAGAGTGTGCAACGCCGATCCAGCTCTGTGTAGGGTCTTGGTCGAGCGGAATCGGATCTTCTGATGTCATGCGTACACTTCACACCAGCGCAAGGCCGGTCTCGAGGCAGGGCACCATTGTTTTTGATCCAAGAGTACCCGCGACTTCCCGGGTTCCCCTCGGATGTGTACGGTATTATGACGCAAAGATCCGATTCCGCTCGACCAAGACCCTATGCAGAGCTGGATCAGGCGTTGCACACTCTGGGGGGTTATGTACTCTTGATGCAACGTACACGGCAGTACGCCAAACACCGCAAGATACGGAAAATCAGAAGTCTGAGTACGCAAAACAGACTCAATTGGTGGGCAGCTCTGTACTGGCCTGTACGGAGGGAGTGAATCTCAATGTGTGCAATGCACGCACTTTGGCGACAGTGAAAACTATGCAAGTCGTGTAGGTTTGCAGGATGAATGTGAGTCCTTTTAGACAAGCGCCTAAGGCCCCGGTCACACATGCATGGCGCTTTTGCGACACCACAAAAGCTGCACCACAAAAGTTGGGATATCCCCGGATCACCATGGATACTGCGCCTGGCGCCACTGGCGCCACGGCGGCAATCTCAAAAGCGCCACAACCAAAAAATTGGTGGCGAAACACAAAAGCGGTAGTGCAACTTTTGCGGCGTTGTCGTTGTTGGATCTCTTGGATCTTGGAAAAATTAGTTTTTCATCTCTCGTCATGAAGTGGACTGCTGACCAAGAGCAACTGCTCCTCTCCCTCTATTTCGAGGTCAAGACAAGACACCAGAAAAAAATGACAAGAGATGTACAGAGGTACAAATGGATTGTTGACAAGCTGAAGGAGGAGGATGTGGTGGTCGCCTGGAAGCAGGTCAAGGATAAGATCGGGCGCCTGAAGAAGACGGGCTCCAAAAAGGTTAAACTTCATGTGCAGCCCAGAGTGCGCAGAAGTAGGCTAGAGCGAACCGGGGCAGCTGCTGATGATGATGATGATGAAGATGAGCTGGACTGGGAAGAGATTCTCAAAGAAGCGAAGTGGCCACTACTCAAATATTTCTATGATCTGTGGAAGTCTCATCCCACTCTGGGACTGGCTATTTCCACTGATAGTGCCCAAGACACCAGTGAGGATGATGATGATGACAACAATGCTGATGATGCTGAACAGGCAGCTTCAGCAGAGGCAGCCAACCTCAGTGCTACGAGCAACAGAGCTAGTACAAGCAGTGATAGCAGTACTGCACACACTACTGGAAACAGTGGAACTTTTGGTGATGGTGACATAGATGATTATTTATACCATGACGTGGCTGATGACAGCGAGGCCGATAGTTCTGATGGACTTCCACCAGCACGTGCTGCAGCACTTTCAGCACAGCCTGTCCTCCCATCTGCAGCATTGCCTGCAGCAGCACTTTCAGCGCAGCCAGTCGTACCATCAGCAGCATTGCCTGCAGCAGCATCTACCCCACTGCCTCTACCGACGCAGGCAACAGCAAGGCCACGAGCACAGGCGCAAGCTCAAACTCAACAGGAGCCGCACAATGGCCGTGCTGGGCCTGCCTTGCCTCCCACACCACCGAGTCGTGTTGGCAGAAGTAGGACGGCAGCACCAGAGCAACAGCGCCAGCAACAGGACCAGTTCTTGGCATCATTTGGCAACATCATGCAAGCGCATACACAACAAACCATTACACTTCAGGGAAGCAACTGTTTCCAAAACTGCCTTTTCCAAAATAGAATATGGTCTGAAATAGACAGGAGATTGTTGGCCATGTTCCTTAAAATTTGAATTCTACTGTAGTATATTATAGATTTGTATTGGCCACTCGTTCATAATTGTGGTATCTACTTTACAGAATTGGAATTAGTGAGAATTCGCAAACAACTTGGCCAATGAAACATCACTAGCAGTCTAGCAGCAATACTTAGTCCTCTTGCGATGGTTATTTGTGTGCTTTGACCGCAGGCACAGCTACAACAACAGCAGCAACAATTTGAAGAGCGGATGAGAGATCGTGAGGAGAGAACGTCATCAGCCACACAACGGCAAAATCAGGAATTCCAGATGACTGTCCAGCAGTCCATGATGACATTCCAGGCCACACTTGTGAGCAACCTCTTCAATGGTCCCGGACCAAGGTCTTCCCGGAACGAGGGGCAGGACTGAGCTTGTTTTGTGATTAATCCTTTCTTCAATTTTTTTCAGCCGTGTTCTTCTCTTCTATTTTTTAGGTGCAATTTAGCACGCTGCGGTTTTTCTTATACGCCTTCTGCACGGGCAAAACAATAAAGTTGCATTCAGTGCTTCTCGTTCACACAGAGCAGGTGTATAAATTCATCAATGGAATGGATTGTACTCAGTGTGGAAATAAGAGGCCAGCAGAACCGTATTGCTCAAACAACAGGGTGATCTCAGTGAGTACGCCGCGCTAGCTTCCTTCTCACCGTCCAACCTGCTTGTTCATAGTCATCGTGGGGTTGGTCATTTGGTCCTGCGTGGAACTGATTGTACGTGGCAGTGTTAATTAGCCAAGTCGGTTCCATAGGACACTTCCATCTCTCGCAGATGTTGTGCAGACCGCAACAGACAATGGCCACATCAGCAGCGAAGTCGGGATCGTCGAGGTTATTGTGGACTAGCACACGGAATCGACCCTTGAGTCGCCCAAACGCCTGCTCCACTACACGCCTTGTCCGAATAAGCCGGTAGTTGAATGTCCGTTCATGTGGCTGAAGTCCAGCTGAGTCATCAAAGCACTTCATTAGAGTGGCACACAGGGGGAATGCAGAGTCTCCCACAAGGTAGGGCCGTATGTACGTGCCTTCAATTCGAAAGTTGTCTTGTATGGTCAGCCACTTTTGCTGGGAAATCCTGCGTAACATTGTTGATGTGGCATACGCACTGGCATCCCCAGCAGACCCAGGCCTTCCGGCATTCACGTTGATGAACATCCCGCACGCATCTACAGTGCCCAATAAAATAATTGAGCAGTACTTCTTGTAACAATAGTAGCAGTCACCAAACATGGCCTTTGGCTTTCGAATTTTAACAAATGTTCCATCCACAGCTCCTGCACACCTTTCCAGGAATGATAGGGACTCGAATTCTGCCATCACTCTCTTCAGCTCTTGTCCCTCTGGGAAGCGAATGGAATTCGGCACCATGTGCATCTTCAGTGCACGCACAGTTTCATGGACTATCTTAACAGCGGTTGACTTGGCAATGCCATGCTGACGGGCTAGCTGCGAGTAGCTATTGCCGTTGGCAAGCCAATGCAGCGTTATTGCCAGACGTTTGTGGCTCGGTACACACAACCTCCACTTGCTGTCCTGGAATGTAATATACCGGCCAAATTCCTCATGGAGATGCCAGAACTCTGATTTGCCCATTCGCACATGCTCCATATACTGTTGATCTTCAAAGTCGGGGACATTCCATTGCACGGACATTGTGGGATAATTTCTCAAAAAATCTTCATCCCATACATTGCCATCTCTGAGAGCAGCCCAGAAGCGTCGTTTTCTCTTGTATCTACCGAAGAGAAGGTCACGCATGTGCGGCAAACCAAACAGTGCCATCATCTGCATCCATACAGGCTGGGTGTCATCAACCATCCGACATGGGACTCGACTCAGGCGTCCACCGATGCTCAAGGAGCTTCCGCAAGATTCAAACGAAGAGAAATTGAACAACATGAATATTGAGGCAATCTCCATAGCTCTCCGCAGTCGCTGGTCACGACGTAGTCGGCGATTCTGGGCGTTTCTGCGATCCATACCAGCGCAGGAAAGGAAAGACAACAGTGATAGGAATTAAAAATGAAACAGCCAACTCAGTCAAAATGCAACAAAGCAGGTACCTTCCTGAAGAATTTTGAGGCTACAGTCTTTTTCAGAGAAAATTTTTACGACACCTGTGGAGACCCGTGAAGCTGCGTGCGTACCAAAGCCTTTGCATGTGTGACCGCCGGCAGAAAAGAGCCGCAAAAGCGCCCACTGCCAGCGTGTTGGAGGCAGCCGCAAAAGTGGTGTCGCCGCCTGCATGTGTGACCGGCGCCTTAGTGAAGTAGCCCACCGAAAGAAGAGTACTTGACACCGCGAAGTGGAGTCTGCGCATACAACAGTGAGGGGGTAACATTACCTATGACTGATTCTACATGTGTGTCACATTACACTAGCAGATAGGCACACGTGTTGTTCCCAAAAAGATGCTTATGTCAGTGTCTGAATATGTCATGTACCAGGTATTATTGTTGCCAGGATCTCACGGTGAGAGTCAGACTTGGATATGGTATCAATTATTAGGGGTGAAACGATTACACTTTTCAACTATCGGTTAAAACGAATTTCAATAAAAGATTGATGTCAATTTTCGACATCCAGAAGTAACTGGGCATTCTCCATCAGCATTCAATAATTATTTTCAAAACGAAACTCCTTCAAACCCAACCACCCACAAACGAAAACATTTCGTTTTGAAAATACTATTGGTAACCTTGGACGGCCCCTAAGGCCTGTGGAGAATCCATAAATCCATACAATACATACAGGCATCGCAACCTTCGGATTATATGCACTTTTGCTTGTCTCCTGGAGTGTAATTGTACCTTGGTTCAGTAGACTTTGTTTTTCGAATTTGTTTCTATAACATTAGGTTTCTTTGTGTTGCTGCTATGTATTTTCATGTATTTTACAGGTTTGCCATCTGTTGATGAATACCACTCTGAGGCACTCTCACGAGCGAAGGTGTTTGAGAATCCATTTCGGAATGATGGTCGTGTTTGCCTAAAGGTGCATTACATTGCCGATACTCGCCACCTCCACCCTGGAGCATGTTCAATTTCTGCTTCTCGTATGGAAGGCCGGAACAGGTTGTTTTCCTGCCTCAGTGGACCACTCAAGACTGAATGATGGAAGAAGATTTGCCGTGAATCTCGCTCACATAATCAGCCTGTTCAATTGCTGTACTGAGGTGACGGCTTCATAACAATGACCATGCAGCATTAAGTTTTGCATAGTACTGCAGTGCCCCTAAAATAGGAGAATATCGAAGTTCTCTGCTAGTATTGTGATTCTTTTGTGAATAAACATCACTACTCTTTTTGAGTAGAATAGCAATGACAGAGTTGGTTTGATGTATGACAAAAATGGAGCCGCTTTTTAAACCTGTACTGTATAATCAGTACCGCCGGAAGCAGTTTTTGATTGGTCCGGTAGTGTCATGGCCTTTTATACTTTGTGTGTGATATGGCGGGTACACACGTCCTCCACAGAAGGAAACATTTGTTGGTGGCCAACAAGTTGGTCCGGTGATGACCTGACCAACCAGACCGGCTCCGGCGGGCCTGAAAATTGTGGGGTTCATGAGCAGCTCAAGTACTTAGCATGGTTTTGGACATGTCCTCAGTTGAAACCGACTTCACCCAAGCGTTCTCTGGGGGGATCGAGGTCTACTCTATTAGTTCATGTATTCTGTGAAGTGACATGACCATTCGTGGGGACCTATCTCATAACTGCAAAAGTCCTCGTCTGAATTTTCCGCATCAATTGAAAGTTGTACATGTGCATGTAGTGAAAGCCACATGCAAAAGGCTGTTCCATGGCACTCATCTGCCCCCAAGCTCTGGGTTCATTGGCTGAAAATATTCTTCGGCACAGTAAAGTCGTGCGCCCAAGAGCGTTGAAGCCTAGAACATCCAGCCTGGAATACAGTCGTCCCTCTCTAATCCGGCACTTTATAATCCAGCACCCTCGATAAACCGGCGCAATTTTCAGTAGCCAAATGTCCTCTTCATGCACATTGCAGCAGTAGATCAGATTTGTTAATCCAGCACCCTCCCTAATCCAGCAGATTTTCGTGGCACAAATGGTGCCGGATTATAGAGGGACCACTGTACTAAGAACACCACAGCCCAAAAATAAGAATTGCGGTTGCTGGGTTTGTGCTATTGCAAAACACGGGGATTGTTATGTTGTACATGTATTTGAGCTTTACCACTACATACACGTCTGTCTATACACAATACCCAATCTGCGGACAGCATGCTGTTTCACTCATCAATGCAGCACAGAGAAAATGAGGCAGATGAATGGCCTGCTAGAGAGCATCGAATACAGGTATAGAATCATGCCTTGCAGATCTCGTTACGGCCCCTTCGATGCATGTTTGAACATTAGATGGCAGTGTAGCTTCAGTTATCTCGGAATATGTTATCCAGCAGCAACAACGTTTGGCACGGATCAACTGACGCACACCTATTCACTATAATGAGTATGCGTTGGAACACTTTACCCCGAGTCATACTATAGCAGTGAATGCCATGCACCGGTTTATCTCAAGCAGTGAATTTCATAATTTGACATCCAAATCACAGAAGAGTGGTGTTCCAAACTCAGTCCATGTCCTGCAAGCTACAGTAGAATACTTTAATAGAATACTTCTTATAGCACGTACTTAGAAACAAATCGTATAGGTTCGAGGCTGTCAACCCAGAAATTTGTGATTTCACAGCCATAGATGTTACCAGTCAGGTCACTGTATACAGTAGGTATGCAGAAGAAAATACTAGTAACTCTTTGTGGAAGAGCTGTGCCTAAATGTGTACAGTACAGTACAGTAAATTCATAAAAAGAAGTGAGAAAGGCAGTGACAAGGCTGTGCATGATGTAGATCTACCAGTAAGTGCAGTGCACCAGTGAAACTGTTGGTGTAGTACCGGTATACCACTATAATGATGGCATGGCCCATGCCACTACAATCTATTTGCAGTGGGCCGCAGTAGGCCAGTGCAACAGAAAGCAATTCAGTAGCTGTGTGCAATGTGAACATCTATGACATACAAGTAAACTGCCATACAGCACAATCGATTACTCTCAGCCCACATAAGTACAATGTAGGCCAATCAGTAGTATAGATACATAGAGCACACTCTACATCATACATAGTCAGCACCAAATCTATTTTGTCGATGTACTCTGCAATGATGAAATGATGGCAAGCGAGCTTGATTCATCATAATACTGCCTTGAATTTGGTTGGAAGTTAGTTGTAAGTTCAGTGGTCGAGGTAACCAGAGCTGCTCCAGCTTTCAGAATCCTGCATGAAAAAGGCAGAAAGCAAATGTAGGTATAATAGTAGCAAGCTGACGTATAGAGCCTGTCTTTCAA